TGCCCTGTTCTAAACCAGCTTATGAGCCTGCCTCACAAGTGTCACCTGGACTTCGTGGGTGTGATAATGGTTGAGGCCATTTTGATCATGGGGGTTTCACAGCACTGGGACAGCTGCAGTTGGACTTACAGCCTTTGTTTCTCCTAAACCAGAACCACGGCAACTTCTGTTTGTTTCCTGGGGTAAATTGTGCATGTACATTTCTAGTTCACAGTGTGTTGGTGTGGCAGTCCTACCACCTGATACATGAACTAGCAGAAACTGCAAAAATCACATCTCCCAGTACATTGCATTATAAAAAACTAACCCAAAACTCTTCAGTTTGCTTTCATGCCCGACCCGTAGTTACTAAAAAAACAAAACCAAAAACAAACAAACAAAAAAAATGGTCCCCTGGTTGTAGTGGATGGTGCAGTTACTAATGGATTCTGTTGCAGGTAAAGGTAAAACAGACACAGAATTTCCAAATCTCAGCAAATACTCAAACCCCTCTTCTGTTAAATCCAAGGAGGGTTAATAGTACCTAATGATGATTCCAGATACGGCGTGAAGCAAGCGTGTTCCCCTCTCCCCCATTAATCACAGGAATATTTCCAGAGACATTCAAAGAAAAAAATGTTTTTAAAATGATTGCTGCCTTGCTGTTAATAAATTACAATGACAATGTACAACTACATCGATCTGAATATTCTTATAAGTTTGTCAGTACTTGGATTAAGGAATGATTGTGTTATTGCCGCTCATGTAAGAATATGTTCTTCAGGTACACTGTTGAGGAGTATTTTTTGTTATGAAAACTTGTGGTATAAAGCAAAGCAGAAGGAATTTTTAAGGTCATTCTTGTAATGACAACAGCAGGAGGAAGAGCAGGTGCTGCACAGTGGTGCCCAGTTAGCAGATGCTTAAATGAGTTCCAGAATAGGGAAAAGGTTGCAAACAAAGTTATATGCACATTCTACAGCTGGGCTCGTACTTTTATCTGGACTTGGAAAGATGTGTGCATATTCATTTAATGTATTGTTTTCCTTGTTCATGCAAATTGTATTCACTTGGCTTCATCCCAGGTTATGTACTTGTAAAAAAAAAACAAACCCCAGACCCCACAAATCTTGTACCACTGCCTGATCATGTACTTTTAATAGCCATTTTGTCATTTTGTTTTGTGCTTCTGTATGAGGTGTAATTGATTACTGAAATACTTGTCTTTGAATTAAAACATGATGTTGAGAAGAAAATGTTATGCAGACACTGAGCTAAACGGGCACCCATGTTCTTTCAGCTGCTCAGCTGTAGCAAGGTTCCTGAGCTGCCAAGAGAGGTGCTGCTGCCTGACCTCAGCCTCTTCTGAAACGTAGAAAGGTGTGTTGGTCATAGATGCTTATTGTATGTAATTATGGGTTAAAGACCAAGTCTCATTCAAGTAAAAAGAAAATAACCACTTTTGATATTAAAATGCTTGAAAAGCAGACAATGATGGTGTCTACAAGTAAAGCACAGAAGCAAACTTTAAATGTGTAATACTGCAGCTTTAAGCCTTCAGTCCATTCAAATTTCTTTTTCCAGGTTCTTTGCATCAGAAATGTACGGGAAGCTGATGATGTTGCATCACAAAGGATAAGAAGTTATTTCAAAGGGTTATGTTTGCAGAAAAACAGTTTTAAAGTTATTACAACTCAAAAGATATCCCCGACTCATCTAATACTAAAAGTAGGGCTGAACTTTCTAATTTCTCGTGTAAGGGGGACTTCTGTGGGCCTTTTTAAGAGGCCATCAATAGCTGAGGCTCAAGAATCATTTGTTTCTGGTCAGACAAGTTCTTTGGGCTCAGCAGACCCACCTGGTGTGGGTCTGAATCTTGCATTGTGGAAAGAGCAATGATTTGCTTTTGGCAGGGTAGGATCACAGGCAAGGCAGTGCTTGAAGAGAGGTGTAGAGAGAGCAGAAAGTCCTCCCCAGCTCTCCTTGGGCTTACCTGTGGTGCCGGAGGGAATGGGACTGCAGCAGGCAGGCAGCTGTGACTTCAGGCAGTGACAGTGAAGGCAGCAAGAGCAGCAGGACACCTGTCCAGTGGTTCTGCCTTTGGCTCATGCAGAGCTACGACAGCACTGGTGTGGGGCGAGGTGGCCCCACACACACTGGGGCACATGGTGGAAGAAGAAGGCAGCCCAACCAGCTGGTCCTCCCTCCTCTCTGGCACAGCTCATTCCTCCTCCAAATGGGAGAGGAGGATGCAAGGGCAGAGAGCAAGCATGGGGAAGGTAGGAGAGACCACGGGATAGCAGCAAAGAAAAGAAACAGAAGGCTCTGACCCTCTGGGAGGTCATGGGATATCTCACCTCACATCCTAATATAGATAAAATTATTCTTTTATCTGAATTCTGCTCAAAAAATCTGTAGAAGCAGAGCAACACATGACAGCTGAACAACAGCATTATCAAATGATACTGTAAAATAGCAAAACTTCATAAACATTTGGTCTCATACAGGAAATGTACTCGTTTTATTAAAAAAAAAACCAAAAACATGTAAACCTGCTGAAGTAATGTTAAGGGGCTAAAATTATACTACATATACTGCTTATATACAAAAGACTCTGTGTCCTTTATTAAAACACAAATATTTCTAGTGCTCTGTTCTCATGTCCTATCAGAAAACGTTAATTTCTTATTCCTTCGGTTTTATTTACCAACTGCTTCTATTTGGACTCTCCATTTTCTTAACCAATGAGTTGCTGTTAATTCCAGAGATATTTTTGAAGCCAGTCTTGGAGCAGGATGGTATGTTCCATTTATTAATGATTGAGTCAACTCCTGCTAGCAGAATTTTAAAGTGCTGTGCTTCAATACACTGTTCCTGCCCCTATAATTATATTTTCTGTAAGATGATGGAGAATGAGCTGTGAAATCAAACACTTCTACAGACAGACAGAAAGTAATGGGAGGACACACATGACAACAGCAATATACAGTAAAACTTGCTTTAATGTTTGAGGATTCATTTATTTGATTGTAAAAGAGGGCGACTGCAATAACATTGCACAAGGTAGTATGGTGTGGTTTGGTCTGGGGTTTGCTCCCACCACCCCCTTCTTCCTGGATTGAAAAATAAAAAGGCTAAACAGTGCTACTTTAATATATTTGGGCTAATTTCATGTTTGCCATTTCTAGGAATCTAGCTCTGGGAGATACACTTGCTTCACTGCCATTCTTTCTGTATTTATCTAATTGCTATTAGCTAGAGCCTAAACAGAGTCTAATTAAACTCTGTAACATCTAGTATGTATTATTGCTTCATACAACTACTTTTCATTTACTTTCTAAGCATTTAGTAGACAAGAAAATACTTTATGGAATTTAAAGTGTTACTGGAAATTGTTGGGCTAAAAAAACCATAACACCAACATGCTGCAACATTGCAAGTGTATGCAAGGAGATCCAATGTTGGCAATAGATCAGGTGGCCAAAAAAATAAGAAGGGATATTTCTCCATGACATTTCTGTCTTACCAATCAATTTCTAAAAGTAATTGAAGTTTTTAATGTGAGAAAGAGATTTGAGTTTAGTCAGTCTGAACTTGAAGTGCTTTGGAGCTGCTGCACAGTGTACGTGGCCATTTATAACTTATCAATCACTATCATTTATTGTTTACTAGAAGATTCTATTAAATACATACATGAAATTCCAAAATATTCATTTGTCTTGTTCGATATAAAGCAAAGCATTAGGGGGAAAAAAAATCGCAGTCCTAGGTCTTCCTACATTTTGTTAAAAACACTGTTAATACCCACCCCTCATAGGAAATAATTTAATTAAATTCTGGCAACTGATACAAATAATCTTACAGCTCTAAAAAGGGCAGTATAATAAGTTATGTAGCTTGGGGGGGTTGAGGGGGGAAGAGAAAAACAGACAGTGAACTTCAGTTTGCTTATTTTATTGAATGTGGTAGCTGTAGCACTTTAGGTGGAAGAGGTGCTGGAAAGCTGTGTTGCTTAAGGTCTTCCATAATGTGTCAGAAGAAAACCTGAACACATCCTTGCTGACCAGCCACTCATCTTCTGTTGGGCATTTGCAGCCTGAAAGCATCAACAAGCCATATACTAGTAATTTGTATAGAAACAGCTTTTATAGTTTACTTCACTTTACCTAAGAAGATTAAACCTAGCTCCCTTGGGAGGTGATGGAGCAGCTCGTCCTGGAAACCATTTCCAGGCACATTAAGAATGAGAACATTTATTGGCACCACTCAAAGCCAGTTTCTCATGTCTGCTTTCTCAGCTAAAAAGCACCCTTAGGTAGCACTTAAAGTCATCTCTCCCTAGCCCAAAGTGCTCTGTCGAGCAACTGGCAAAGCTCAAGTTTTACAGAATATGCAGCAGCAGTTGCCAGCACCCCAGCACCTACAAGTTCCCAGGGGTATACAGGACTCTGTCCTACGTTTTGGATGCCAGTGTGGATATCCATGCTGGGGGCCTGCTGGAGGTACCATCTGTCCCAAGCCCCTGTAAATTGGCTGCAACTACAAGGCCAGCAATACCTGGTCTCATCAGTGTTCCTAGGTAAAGAATTGTCTCCTCCCCAAGCTAAACCTTGGCTAAACCTTGAGAATGGTGAAGGTATCAATAAATCTCTGCTGGTGGTCTGCAAGACCCTGCATGACAACTGTAGGAGTTACTGTGCTTTTAATATAGTCACAGATAATACAGGGAGTGGAGGACACCAGGTGAGACTGCTGGGTGCTGTCAAGAGTTTCTCTGTAGTCAAGGAGGTAGGCAGAGTTGATGATGGCACCATGGCCTGTATGCTTCTATGCAGTCTTTCCCACAGGTGAAGGTACTTAGCCACTGACCAGCAGCAGTCAAGGACAGCAAAATTCCACACAGAAGGACCCTGCAAAGACTTTGAATGTGGGTCTCCACAAAACTTCGTACACGTTACTGTTCCTCCTGTGCTCTAAGCACTCTTACAATCTCATCTCCCAGACTCAAAATATCTTGCCAGCTACAGGGAATTGGTCTTGGCTACATTCCCTGACAGGATGTCATATTCTGCAGTTGTATGCATCTCACAGGGGTGCAAGGTGCTGATCTGAGCCATTCCCTTGCACAGCAGCACCACTACCACCTTAAGCAGGGGCTGGAGGGCCTTCTTACTGTTCTGACATGGCTCTGCCTGGCCTGAGATGGGAACAACACTGACTGCATGATCTGAAGGCCAGAAGCACCAAACCTCACTGTCTGGGAAAGAACCTCCACGCTGTCATCCTTGCGTAGCAGTTATTGAAATGGACACTGGCATTTGCCTCACTCAGACAACGGAGCACAAGACCTACTGGGGGGGTTTGCCTGTTATGGCAAAACAGTCCCTGCCTGCTTGATGATGGACCGGCCCCAAGCCAAAGAACATTTAACTCCAAAATGAATATTCTCAACAGCCTATGCTGGGCACATGAGAAGCTTTGCAGAAGTTTTCAGTGCAATTGACTGCCTCCGTTAACCCAAAGAAGCTCATACTGCAAAGATTGCAACATGATATTGTATGCTCATAAAAGCAAACGTCCTTTTATGTTATAATGCTGAAATTAAAAAACCGAATTCTTACCCAAACTCTCCTGAAGATTTTTTTCCAGTATATTTTCTTATTTTCTGCAGTGTTCCTGAAGAGGTCCCTGCAGATCATTATTAAATAAAAATTATTTGCTATAATAAAAAGAACCTACATAAATTCAACTTAAACCCAGAAATGTAGGGATCAAAAATATGGATACAAAGATCAGTATATATTATAATTCACAGGTTACACTACAAGTAACCATTAAAATAACTTCATAAAACACCTAAACACAGACTGAGCATAATGTCATGATTACTAGTAGCAATGCAAGCTAGCAAACGTTATATGGCATCCTGCTTAGAGAGAACTTGTTTAGGGATATAGTGGCATTAATTTTAAGGCTGAATCAACAAGCGGAAAGTCATACAGAACAACAAACTTACAAACCTTGATGCTTCATCTAAATGAACTTAAAGAAACAATAAAGAAGATGGAATAAATTTTAAAATCTAAGATAAAAGATTATGGAGTCCTTTATGGGACAGAAGGCACCTCACACCCAGAATGCATATTTTGGGTCTATATGTATACTTGTTTGAGGACTTCTAATTGAAAAGGCCAAGAAGTCCCTCCTGAGGACCTACATGAAAATCTCTCTGTATATACTCGGCACAACAGATCAGGATAATTACTTGGAATGCCATTCAATATCAACTACAACCACTTGGAAATTCTGATCCTTCTCATTTCTAACAAGTGTACAGAAATGAGGTTAGGATTTCATGTCAAGGCTTGGACTTGTAAAACAAAAGTAAAATTTAAAAAAATCAAACTTTATTATTCTATGAGGAAACTGAATTCCAAAGCCTAGGATTTGCTTAAAAAATGGTGCCCCTGCTTCAAATACATCAGAGTTTGTTGCAAGAGAAACAAAAATATGGCTAAACAAACTCCCTACCTGGCCAGGCTTCGTCTGTATTGGCACTTTCTTGTACTCTCTTCTGAAGCAATATTGCAGCAGTTGTTAAGGTTGGAGGTTTTCTCTGGGTCACTGTTTGCTTGCCCTAGTGAAAGAAGATGCACAAGCCACACTCAACTCTAGCAAGGAGCTTACAAAGCCCAGTGAAAACTCTCCACTGTTGGAGCAACACTAGAAAGGAACAGAGAAAAGGTGCACACCCTTCCACCTGGAAGCCATTTTTTCCTACCTAAAATAGATAAAAGAATAGCAAGATTTTCAAACATCTTAAAAACCCAAAGAAATAGAGAAAGCAAAGAAAATCGGTACTCTCATAAAGGAACTGTTTACTTTTTCGGTTTTGGTTTTTTTTTTTTTTTTTTTTTTCTGTAATAAAGTAGGAGCTCACTTCAATATACTGCTGATGTGCTTCATTTTTCTGCTTCCCCAAAAGGGGCTTAGCCCTTTGGCCTTGTATCTAGCAGCCAGAGAATAAATCAGCTGTACATTTGCAGGGAACAGCAAACCTGTCAACAGCAAGGACACCTAATGAACAGGAAGAGCTTGCTTCATGTGTGGTAAAAGCTGCCAGCTTTCTGCCTCCCTACAGCTGTTACCCTGGAATCCAATTGCAGAAGAGTTTGAAGAAATTGTTGTCCAACTTTTTCACAGTGTCATATTCTGTGAGTTTTTATATCATACAAAGGGCTCCAGTTTCAGGGAACTCCCAGGTAATATTCAGCATATATCTTAAGAGTTTATTAGCTTCCCAGGAATCTTAAGTTTTACACTAGTATAGGTCTTTACTCACCCTAAACTACCATTTGGCAAGTCTGCCTCCAGGACAAGTGTGACTGTATTTGCTTACCGAAGCCCGTTTGGTGGTCTGTGCAGCAAAGGCACGAGAGGCAACTTGTTTTTCACAAAACTTCATGTGCCTCTGTGCTGCAGCCTCATTAAATCTTCGTGAGCAGTGTGGACACTGAATATAGTCTGGCCATAAGAAAGGAATAACTCATGTCATGGTTTATACACAACAGGAGAAGAATTGCCTTGCTTTACTGGAGCACTCAAGATGCAGTTCAAAACCTGGCTCCGCCAGCAGGTGACCATGGTGAGATCCCAGCAGTTCCCAAACTACAAACTTAGGAGCTAACTACATAAACCTCCTCTAGAAAAGCTCTTGGGATCCTAAAATACATGCTTATGGCATTAACCCTGCGAACAGTAATTGCTTTCAGAAGTAAACCCCTGGGGATTAATAAAAGCAGAATTTATTTTCTTTGCTCTATTTCCACCCCTAACCTCGCAATTAACACGTCTGCAGAAAAAACGTTATTTTAAAATTCCTAGAGTAGTCGAACCCAAAGTTTTTAAGACTGCTTTTAAAAATGGGTCATTAGGATTGCTATTTGGTAAAACACTGCTGAAGACTTGTGCCTGGCCAGCTGAGGCACATCCAATAGCCAGATTTCTGGGTGTGAAGCAGCATTGTTAAGAGCACACATCAGTGCTGCCTGAACTCATTCTTGACAGTGTTAGAGCCCTGATCCTGTTAAAAGCTATTTAGTGACATTTATTGCTGGTGCACTCCATTTCAGAGAACAGTCAGTGTTCAGGGTCCAGGCAATCAAACTCAGTCCTCACAATGCCCTTGGCATTCTCAGGCCCTTCCTGTCTGCCCAGTGCCTGTTACAAAAGCAGCCCAGGTGTCCTTATCCTAATATTACAGATGTAGCATCTTTACAAATTGTTTTTTTTCAGTGACAGCCTAGAAAAGGTGGCCCAAGCAGCCAGCAAAAGCCAACTCCAGAGCAGCAGCATGGGCAAAATGGTTATGAACACACGGGAGGGGAAGATGAGACAGGGTAGATACCTGGCTTCAGGGAGGCTGGCAGGGAGACCTGGCACTTCAAGGGAGAATGGGGAGCTTTGGGCTCTGTTTGGAGGAGGAAGAGATGGAAGGGGAATCTCTCTCTCCTCCCCACAATCCACATCCTTTCTCCCCAGTCCTGTAGTATATACAGCCTCACTAGGCCCCTCAGCAATTTTTCTTTCCCAAAAAGCAGTTCTCCAATTCTTTTCTCCATAACTACTGTTGCTCTTGCACAACTTGATTTCCTCCAAGAAGGACAAGGAAAGGGAGGGGTCTGCTCTTAGAGTCAGTAGAGTCAGATGAGAAATAATAGAGCCATTAAGGAAATCAGCAGTGGAAATTCAGAGAGGAGCATGACCCCAATCAAGGAAGGAAGATGTGTCCTGCTGCTTATACTGCATTGCTGTCATCTAGAAGAGGAGAAAGGCTGGAGTCCCAGCAGCTGGTTTTGCTATCAGTCACAAATTCCTGCTCTGTAAGTGAGCCCAGGGAGCCCCCCCTTTTCCCCCTCACCCTCCACCTTCCTAATGCAGGCAGGACTACTGAGACCCTTTCCAGGATTGCCCTGATGTTTCATAAATGATGTTGTGAGAAATACTGGCTGAATGTACATCTTTTCAGATCCACAGCTTCTAACACAGTGAGCTCTGTGCGGGGACCACACCTGGTATAAGAAGTAAACCGGTCTTCTCTTTTTATAAATGACTTCCCCTATCTGCACAGTTGGGTGGGGAAGGACAGTGGAAAAGGTCCAGTTAGTTAAAAGGTATGGTTAGTTTTCCTCCCCACCACCTCTATATTGCACTCCTACTAATTTAAGACAAGAAATACAACTGAAAAGTATGGAGGGAATTTGTGCTGCGTTGTGCCAGGGAGTGCAAAACTGAAGCCCAGCTATGGATAATGGGAGGTCACTGCTTTACCAAAGACCAGGACAGGAACAGTAGTAAGGTAAAGCAGACCACAAACCTGGATTGATGCTTGGTGGGGGAGGAGGCGGAAGAGGGCGGCCCTCCTTCAGGGCTTTTGTGACCTGCTTGGCTGATAGAATAGCATTAATAAAATCCTCATGGTGCTGCCTCCAGTTAGATTTCTTCCCTGGCTGTTTCTGTAATGGAAATAAAAGAAAACACAAAACATATTTCCCCTTTGCAAGGGACAGAGAAACATCTTACAGTGAGGGTTCTTCCTTTCTGAGGGAAAGGCAAAATGTTACAAAAAAAAGAAATTTGCTTTTATTGAAAGGCATAGGAAAGCTGATCTAGCCCTTTGCTGTCCATTGACAGCACAAGAAGATGGATAAAAGAACAAGGCACTCAAACAAAACACTCTGATCATGGCAGACCAAAGGGCATTTAAAAGGGAAAAGACAGGATGACCAATGATCAATGCCTTCCCTACTCCTCCACTTGTTAGATTCTTCTTGCTTTAAATGTTTGTGCACTGCTGTTTCATTCCACAACTGAATGAAAGACATTTTACAATGGCAGTGTGCATGGATACCAAATTAGCAATGATTTGGCAACTCTAAGTAAAATTATACACATGCTTGTCCATATATATTCCCCTCCTCCCCAACAGTGCATGAAAAAACAACTTGTTCCAGTAAGAGCTTAAGCCTCTTTCTCTCCAGCTCTGTAAATAAGTTCAGTTTAAACACATTTTAAACCCTTGAGTCCAGTGAATCTCTGTAGCTTCATCCGTGGAAGATTCAGCATTACTGGCAGCTCTCAGGTTCAACATGGGGCGTTCATGCACCAACCATCTTGGGTCATGCTCTCTTTCAGGTTTACGTGAAGAGGAAGCTGTCAGAGACTTCTGTACTCTTTAAAATGCATACACAAGCACTTCCTAGAAGAGCAAAGACACCTGTGTTCCCAGAGTAGTCATGACACCTACTGGTTTGGCTTCTGAACACAGAAATATTCTCCAGCATTAGCAGCACAGGGAGGGGGAGGAAAGAATTTGGCACCAAGTCAAGTACATATGCAAGACTCATCCTCAACATCCAGGCTTTGTCCTCATAGGAAACAATAGCGTTGCTGAATGAAAGACTTTGTATGGAGATAACACACACGCTTCAATTTTAACTACACCTTTTGCAGGGGCTGCTTCTTCACGGTGGTGATTTCTGTTCCCTGCAGTCTCTGTTTCAAAGAGTTGAAGGGCTTGCGCTTCTTGTTGAAGATTTTCTTGCATATTGGATCATGTCTCATCTGGGATGCAAAGCAAAACAGTCATTTATAGATTGAAGTCATGCTTTGTTAATGATACTTCCTTATTCAGGCTTCCAAATTACTTCTGTGTGGGAGCAGGGAGCTGAAACAGTATTTATTTTGGGTTCATTTTAACTCCTGAAGGAGTTCAGCAAAACTTTAAAGAGCTGTCCAAGTACAGCTGCAGTTTAACACAAATACGAAATAGAAGCCATTTTCACTGTGTTGTGCTCAGGGACATGCTGGAGGCCAGCATAAATGACTTGCAGAGAAGAACAGGCTGGGTTTGTCAGCAGGAAAAGTCCCATTGGGCTCCCACACCC